AGTGCACGATCGAATTATTCATTTTTCCATTGTGTGTTAACTTAAGAATAATGAAAACATTACATCAATCATCGCTTTTATATATTCAGAATAATATTTGGGTATCATAAACACAAGTCGAATCCGATACAATTGAAAGCATATTGTGACCTATTCTAAGTACGTCTCGTAGCGTTGTTTCATAGTCTATCATAACACAGATGAACAATGTCTAGAGGCTTTTTTCTTCGTAGAGCACATCGATAGTATGGACAGGTCGAAGTACGTAAGTACACCGAAATAATGTCGTTTTCGTTCTTGGAAAATGAGTATTATTCAAACAAAATCATCCTTTCACCAAACAACTATGTTTGTTTTCATCAAGTTAGAATATTCATAACCGACAATACCATACACATATCTTTAGTCATTGCTCTATGATTGAATTATACATGGAATTTTATACGTCAAAATCGATTATATCATCTTTCGTCTTATGAGAAAGCGAACTTTGGGCTAATCGATAGACAAAATATTCGAAACCACAACATGAAAACGATATTTTCTTTTCTTTCCTTCTTATGCATAGATAGTGTAAATCACTTCTCGATATTCGAATATATTTCGACTGATCACTAACAACACAGAGCATTTCAAAAATAATCATCTATCGATGGAAACATTGCTACAATCGACACTTCGTAAACTGACATATCAATCATTGTCTCTTCTACTCGAAAACAGAAAGATGATCGACGTATCTTACTCAACGTCATCATCAACAGTTCGAATTTTAGTTTCGAATATATACTCGTATGCTTTTATTTGATAGAGAACTCCGATAGAAATATAAGAAACTGTGTAGTATAGATTAGTTATTTGAGTGCAAGTCGAGATTGTTAGGAAAAGAAAAAGAATTCTGTGAAAAACCTATGATTATATGATCTAACTACATTGTAAAGAAAAGTTAGCAAAATAGAGTTTGTGCGTTTGAACCTTGGCTTGTTTTGTTCGATTAACCATCATAAGTCAATTGACCATCAATGTTGCTAATCTTAGAATTCAAGTCGACGCTTGTTGTAGCCCATTGACCGTTCATCTTTTGACATGATGCACGCAAAACTGTGCCTGAGAATGAATAGCTTTTGCATGTGAGTTGATAATCCGAGCCACGTCGCTGCATTTCATTTCTTACTTCTTCTGCTTCGTTATCAGCTAAACGAAAAAACAATAAAAGAAGACTCGTCATGATTTTCTCTATGTTCATGTTATTCTCTGACAAACTCACATAATGTTCGTCGTCGGAGTTTGAGTTGACCATTAATGTTTGCCATTACTCGAGTCAAGTCGAGAGCTGAAACTTCCAAGCTTTGATCGATTTTTCTGCAAGTACCAACCAAATAGTTGCTACATACTGCGACACGAGTACATGTTTCACCAAAGTTATTTCGAGTTGCCAAAGCAAGTTCGTCGTTGTTATCATCAATGGATGCAAATCGTTTTACGAGTGCTGCTGAGTTTAATGCAACACATAAAACCAGGAAGGCGAATGAGACGAAAACAGGTTTCATAACTGTCGGATTGCTGTTATCTATCGATGAAGTAGATGATGATGAAGTGAATGAAAAATAGAAAGAATCCATCGCTTTATATACGCATCGACGTGCTGAAAAACAACTGATTGTTGATTTGAGAATACACCAACGATATTTTGCCAACTCATACTAATCGATACAAAAATGAATGAAATATAAAAACGAATGCGTTGGCTTGTGACCTGAAGAATAGGATAAACACATACCTCAAGCATTCCGCCCATTTTATGATTATTTCTTTGCAGATTAACTATTCAACCATGATCAAAACGTATATGACGAGATTTTTGTTTCTGTGCTGGAGAGTACTGCCTCATAATAGACTTCTGACGAGCTGATTGATGATACACTCAGATGTGGATAATCAACAGATATGTGCAATTTACTACGACTAGTTCTTCGAACGAAAGTCGATTGTGGATCTTTGATAATGAAACCCAAACAAAGTGATTTATCGATTACTAATGCATATGATTCGATCGACATCTTGTTCGATGCGAAGTAGTTGGTGAACCATTGTGATTATATTTTAAAAATGTCGCTTTTCGTATGAAAAAGAACGTTGAAGTACACAAAATATAGTCAAAAAGCTATTTCATCAAATTTCAGAAGCTATTAAGTGTGGAGACGATCCATTATATGTCATGAAAATAACAAAATGAGTAATATTTGTTCTAAGAAAACTATCAGATGAGTGGAACATACTTTGTAAGTCAGTTGCATCGGTACAAAAACGGTGTAAGTAACATCAACAAACGATTTAGTTTTACATATGTCTATATCATTAGGAAATGTATGCATTCACAAAATTCATGTGAATGTGCTATTCGTTAGGTAGAGCAATCGATGAGACACCTTGCAATACAAATAGAAAATTGAACTTTGCTTTAGTCAACAACTCGATTATCACTTTTTGCAAGTTATCAGTTTAATAGTGGCCTCTCCAGGAAATGAAACGTGAACTTATCGTAACAGCATATCACAAATCACAATTTTTTCGATGAACAAAAGCCGACTTTGCAATGTCATCGTATTGAAAAGTTATGCTAAACAAAACTCGTTGATGAGAATACTATCTAAGTTCTTGTTTCAGTGTTCATAACAACTAGTACAGATGCACGAGAAATCACCTGCATAGTTGTATACGATATTCATCCTACACATCGATCATCATAAATGTATCATTAATTATTGTTAACAACCAATACACATATCAGCTATTTTGTCGTGCTAGAATGTTCTCTGGTGGAACATCTATATTTGGAACATTTAATCAGCGCTTGAGTCAATGTTTTCTGAAAGCTTAATTTGGATTAATATAAGAAAAATCTTCTTTATTCATCATATAGAAAGTAAAAATAAAATTAGCCAAATTGACTTAATATGGTGTTTTGATTAATTTCAAATAAACTTCTTCATCTTGATCTTGCTGCAATGGACCATTTCCACTATAATTAATAAAACCATGCTGACGTGCAACCGCTAAAATTTCGACTAATTTATTGACTTGAGAATCTCCGAATATCTACAGGCAAAAATAAACGTTACATTTCTCCCACACACATCTTTCTATTACTGACTGGTATAAATTCACCAAATTTGATTTGCACTGCGTAATCACCCTGTAATCCATTGTCTTTAATCAATTGAAAAACATGTTTGATGTCACTCATTACATTCGTAGGTATTTCATGTTGACTGAAAATAACAATAACACCCTTGTCAAGGTTAAATCAACATCGTGTGATAGAACATACTCGTGGATCGATTGTATCGCTGGAGCAGATGGAGCTTGAGTTTGATTAATAGTTTCTTGAAATTTGTTCAAACGTCCAGCTAGATGATTTTTTGGTCTTTCCGGTTTTTTATACATTTGTTTATCATATTCGATCGAATTGTCTTTATTAGAGGAGGCCATGTTGTTGTCGTGCTGAGAGAGGGTTGGTTAGATATGTGTATCGTTGGATAGAGATGATAGGAGTGTCTATGTATTCGAGGCGGAAAAGAAAGAAAATGTGTACATAGAATTGATGTTGTTGTTTCGGTTGTTGGTACTAGTGCGAAGGAGTTATTTATAATCTGCAATGCAAAGGAAGAGAAGTCGGCGAGTAATTTTTGCTTTCCTTTTCTAGAAATCTAATACTGGATATCTTCCATTCTTTTTGTCTGTTCTTCTCTGTATGTATTATAAGGTTGACGAATTAAGCCGATGTACATCATTGCAAATGTAGACAAAATCTAACTAACAGAAGAACGATAATATATGTTCTGTCTTTCAATAGCCGATGCGTTTGTTCGAATGACATTTATCAATTTGATTCATAGATAAACTGATGAACGAAAGAGCAACGTTCGTATCCGAGGCTATTCTTTTTTACTATACTACAACTAGTAAACAGAGAACGTTTTCGGCTGCAGAATTCTAGCCATCGGTGCAGATTCGCTTTTTTTGTTATCACTATATTTTTTCTGATAAGAATTTTGTACGTATAATTTTGTTTGTAAATATTGTGTTTGCAACGTGAGGTTTAACCTTGATGTGTCTTTTTTTCAAACAAACGAATCAATGTAGTCGCTCGGTATTGTACGTCCACCGTATTCTTTATGATGTTTCAGTTATACATCAGAATACTTCAGTGCGATAGAATTCCAGCCGAAAAGGTGAGAATTAAAAATGCAAATTGTGAAATTTTGTAAAATTGCTCTTTCATCGAAATTCTTTTTCACGCGTCGGATTCGCAATAACTTCTAATTTGCAAGTATGTCACTTCGGCACTCGTGATGTTTACTCAAATTCTATTTTATCAGTGAATACGTTTAAAACTTTCAGAAAAGCAATACGTCGATCGCTTCGCCAATAATGTGCTCATTAAAATTCAATCAATTTATTCATTCGACAGTCAGATGTAATTAATTTTTCATTCATACCAATGCTTCAGAGGCCAATGGTCTGCTGAAATTCATGGAACCCTGAAATTTCGAATACATCTGTTTCATGCCTATGGAGGCAATGCAGAACTAGCATAACAGCAATAACAAACTACGAAAACATTTCCCTACCATGCTCAAGTCTTCTGTGTAATAATTATTTTCGGTTATCATGTAGCACTTTCATAGATTGTATTCGAATATGCAATGAAATGATCGTTATATATGATAGTTGTATGCGTTTGCGTTCTTCTCTGGTTATTAGTCACATAGTTAAGTTCGGCAACACCGATGATTAAACGGTATAACGTAGAAAATTTCAAAAGAACGCAATGAAATCGTTTAAAATTTCGTCATAATTAACCCTCACAGTGGTTGCTCTCTGATTACAACGAAATAAGCATTCATATCAATTCACTCAAATCAAACGCATCGAAATGACTTTACTTGATGCAATCATCGTTAAGCACTGTCTATATGGAAATAGTATCGGCCACTAGACACAGTAACGATTAGGAAACTCGACACAAATGACCAAATTTGAGTTTTGCTTTTTTTTGCAGTCAATTTACAATGGTAGAATATGTGAACACAAAAATAAGAAAAGCTCTTTCTAAAACGAAATTACGTCACGCTTTCTTATTGCATGTGTTATATATATAGAAAAAGTCATAATGTGATTGGATTTCTCCATCGACCCTACCAAGTGAAATATGTTGAAGCGACATCAGAGTAAAACATATCGAGCAAAAAAACGTAATTAGTGTTTTGTTATCGTTTAATGAAAAGAGAATACACGAAACTTTTTTTTCCGTTCTGTGACGATACTTTATTGAGATGAAATTTTTTTTATCCGTATAAAACAATAATAAAATGATACGGATTTTAAACGATTTCTTCTTCTTCTACGCGATGAATCAGTGTAGGAGAGAAACGCGTGATGCTGCGATGAAAACAAACATATGCACGGATCACTGATCATAATGAAACATCTAGCCACTTTCTATATATATATGTTATCAATAACATCAAATTTCACAATTCGAATATAGCTGTCGATAAAATATTCGCCACAACATCAATTTCAAAGGACATCACTTCGACATCAACATGAGTAGAGCTACTATCATCACATCTTCGTATGCTTCCTCACCAGTCACTGTATTATACACTGGGAACTATGTGAGATATGCACCAACGTCTTCGTACATCACCGTTGTTGATCAAATACGTAAGCCGGTGATTCTTACTCAAGAAATTGTCGATTATGGCGCTCCACTGATCATTCAACAGCCTGATTATTATGTTGTCGACAGCAGTCCTATTATCGTCAGTGATTACGCACCACGTAGCTACGTACGCTATGGCGTTAGTAGTTCAAGATGCTGTTGCAGATCGTGCCTTTATTGATTATGAACTGGCGACGAGAAAAATGAAAGATGAACGATGAATTTTCTTTTAACTGACTGTATGTTTTTGGCGGATTCTTTCCTGTATTTTTCTCGATTTTTATTTTCAATAGTGAAAATAAAAAATTTATTCTCCTTCATTAACATAGTCCTATCTTTCGAAAATAACAAAAAAAGCATATTAACAATTGTGAATCGAATGCGATGTGAAAGATTGTTAGACTCAAGCTTTCGAATAATCAACGGCCTTGATGAAAACACAATGTACGAGTCAACTGCATTGTTTCGTTCGAATAGCATACGAGAGACAGGTAAAATATTTGTTTTTATTTTTTCTCTTATCCAGACTATTTTTATCTAAACAAAAATAACTCAATAACGTTTATCATCATTACCGCCTAAGCCGTTTCTAAAGTTTGTGAGAATTATATTATTTTATTTGTTTTGTATTTTGAATTGCATGTGCTTCTTGCTCAACTGCGGTATTTCTTTTCTTAGTTAACGATACTATGTCAGTATAAATTCTTCCGCACTCTATAATCTTGATATGTTTTATTAACTTCAATATCATTCCCGATGATTGAAGATGAGTATGTTGTCATGCAGGAAACTGTTTAGTGTAGAATCTATATAGTTTATTCCTACGAAAAAACATATTTGTGAAACTGTTCTGCATCTATGTCTAAAAAGCATGTTCTTCTTTTCTCATTTGGGACAAAAATTTGGTACAGGTAGTTTTGGTATCCATTTTTGATCGAAGAAAAGTGGCGCATTATCAGGAAAAAAGTCGGATCCTGCTTTAACAAATACTCCAATCTGGAGAGATGCTGTGAGAAGTAAGAAGATTTGCGTATACAACCATGAGACCAGTACTGGTAAACGAAATGGTAGATGAGCTTCTATTACGCAAGCGACACCATGTATAACAAAGAATAACATAGCCGCTAGAGCGACTTGTAAATCATGAACTGCCAACCAAGCCAAATGCACATGAAGAAGACCACTAACAAGAAAAACAATCAAAGAAGCAAGCGTTGCGGAAGATAGACATTGGCGAACAGGTTGAAATATTGATTCGCGAAAAACACTACTGACAAGCTGATTATATCGTCGGCCCCAGAAATCGCGTAATGAATGAGCTAGAAACGGGAAATTGATCGTTGTAGTGTGTCGATATTTATCGCCGGTGACGAGACGAATGATCCCACTTACGAAATCTGAGAAAAATGTGTAGGTGACTGCAAATGTGAAAAACATCAGTAATCGAGGATAACTATCACTTCCAGAGCATGATAGAAGCCAACGATATAACCAATGATTGATGGTGATTTTCAAAGCGGACATGAGAAAGTCATTATGAATAGGCCATTGTTTTCGATAATCTTCCGTACAGGAAACAACAGGTAAGAACATCCAAAGTAATCTGCGAACGTAAGGAACCAATGTATTATAATGATTAGGAGACATCACAATCCAATGAATTAGCCGAATTGACGCAAACCAACAGTATGTCCCCAATAACATAGATGACATCGAACGTTGTGGAAGATCATAAGTAGTTAGGTATGTTAATATTACACAAGGTGCAAGTACCCATATGCATCGAACCGATGCGTTTGGTAACAGACGTACATAATAAAAACATATGAGAACTTGTGCAATCCAAGCAGTGAGAATTAATAACGAACGCATTATCTAAAACTAGCAGAATTATTTCGTATGGAATTACATGATTTTTTTAGTTAAAAAATATATACTCATAGTGTCCTACTTTTTTTTCAGTGTCACCTTACTTATATGGGAATATGTTAATATCATACGAGTACAGAGGATGGATGTAATCTTTACCATATAAGGTCATTCGTGTAGTAAGAAAGAAAAATATGGGTTACTTTATGGGTCTCAATGAAGAACGAATAAAAAACACGTGGTAAAATATTTATTTTGGCATATAGAGAAAAACTCGAAGTTTACTGGCAATAACTTTCAAAGACGATTGCTGGAATACTTTGTAAAAGTAAATTTTTATATTATAGACATGCTACGAGGCGGCAGTTTTTTTAATTCTATTACGAAAACTTTAACATTGTAAATTCAATTCTAGAAGGATTGTACTGTCTACGTGTCGGATAGTAGAGTCGCGACGTAGTTGTTTGAAATCAATGATGTGCTTCAATCTGTTGAGCGTAGGTTCGTTGACTCCAGATGATTTCATGCAAATCTTAGATAGTTGACAGATACGTTTTTTGTTTTTCAGTAAGGTAAACCGAAGGAATTTTTCTAACAAGAAATCGTTTTCACAACCGATTTCTAGATATTGTACTAGTGGGAAAAGATCAATCAAAAATTGAGCTTTTGACAAATTATCCATGTACGAAAGAACGGTTTTACTGACTCGATTAGTTTTTGATAATAAACTAGGTGATTTTGCCTCTGAAGATGTGAGAAATCTTGGTGTTACGAAAGATAATGATGGAAACGTTAACGATTCGAGATGAGGTAATCGTAGAATAGACTTAATTAGTTCGCCGATAAAGATCTCAGCATTCTGAATAACTAGACAAGTGATTCTCAGAGAAAAGACGGTCAAAAGAGAAACTCCTATTTTCATATCCATAGTAATGACTGACAACAAGTTGATCGATTCCAGGCAGTTCCGTCATGTAGATCGTTGTTTCGTGTCGATTTAGAGCCACGAAATTTGCATGCTTTTGTTTCTTTTCGTGTTTCGATTGAGTGAACATTGTACTATAAAATTATATACATTTATATTGTTAAACATTTTCAATCAGATTTTGTAATATACTTAGGAAATGAGATGGAATAAAGAATAGTATTCGTTCCCCAAAAATCTACCTGAAAATAAATACTCAATTGCGTTTTACATCTTAACCAATACAATGAATTAAATTGCGAATAGCTATTTTCAAAGTTATCGTCGCTAGTGTGTTCATACTGATAATGAAAAATATGTAAGTTCAATAAATATTTTGATATAATCCGTTCCCATCGGCTCGCGTCAAGATAATTCACGGCGTCCGAGCACGTAATATGCAGTTCTCGCAGCTGTGCTGTTGTTTTTGTAATAAATGTTTCTAATTGATTAAAACTAGCAGAACACATATCCATACGAATATTTACCAAGCTGTTGATTTGCACCAAAGATTCTTGATTAATTGGCTCATCCAACTCGAATAGTATACTACGTTTTAACCGACGAAGATGAGGTGTGTAAGAAAGTATATCAATTAATTCATTCAGAGAACAATGGTGATTAATAACCAGATGTTCAATATCTGTATAATGATCTGTCGTAGCAATTGGTAATTCATTCAATGAACCAAAATGCAAGTCAAGGTAAAACTGACTTCATATATATTACTGCATTTGTCGACAAAGTCGTATAAGTGAATAATTAGAGAGGAAAGACGAGCCAGGGATATTAACTTTGTGAGAAGTGATACGTTATATCTATTCTTGCGTGCATAAGCTGCAACGGTTTTAAATGAATAAATGAAATATTGATAAAGAAATCTAATAAAGCAATACTCATATTTCGGAAATTATACAGCCGAAGTGATGCGATTCGATGTCTACTAAGATTTAGAAAACGAATGAAACGACTTTCTAATGAATGTGTGAAATTTGCACTTAGATTAATTTTTAGTCGAGTAAACGAAGCAAGTAGGTTTTCCAAACGTAAAATTAAGATTTGAAAACAGCTTCATAGGATTGACATCCTTACAAATGATCTAAAATTTCGTGGAATAATTCATTAGAAGAATCTTCGAGACATCCGGAGTGTTTTTCAGTAGGAGTAAAGGTTCAATTTTGTACTCATATGATTTTCCCTCACTTATCATTTGTTGTGGCTGAAAAAGAAAGGAGAAAATCATACAAGAAAGGTCTCACGCAATTAGTCGCTTCGACGGCGGCATCTTTGTTCCTGTTAAAAGTGTATTTTGGGATATCCTAAAGGTGAAGAAGATTGAAAAACTAGAGGAAACTTGCATTTTATACGTTTATTTATACTGTTGTTTATTTTGGAGAAAGGAGGAAAAGAAAGAAACAAACGAATGGCCCTTTCTTTTGATAAGGATGAAATGTTCAAGAGAACGCTTTTCCTTCCTTCTATTTGATATTTAAAAGATACATTGATCATCAGTTATTCAGTTCACTTTCTTGAAACGCTGTATACAGTAACCACGTTCGATCATTTCAACTCGGAAAAAACCAATAACATAAATGGAGAATACGAAGAACTTTTTTGGGAGTGTATGGCAGTGCTGCTTAATGTCCAACCGCTTGTTCAACGTACAACTCACTCAATCTGAAGTATACACATATGTTGTTGTATCCGTGTTAATGCAGTTAGTATGCAAATTCCGTGCTATTTCGTTTTGTTTATTTCGAGAATGCACTTCAGCAAGTTTCGTAAGACAATGATAAAAGTGTTAATATCTTTTTGAAAATATGCAATAATTTGAGAACACTATCCCATAGATTTGTGTATACACGGCCAAAACTTAAACTGGTAGCAGCACGATTTACCATCTAAGATCGATAGCTGTTCTTCATTCGAACCGTTTCCCGAAGTTGTTGTCATACGAAAATGCTAGAGAGAATGTTTATTTTCAGAAGGAATTTGTGTAATTATACGCAAATTTCAGAATGTCTTCATGATTTTGTCTAGATGACATACCAGATTGATCGTCAATGACACTACAGTTGCGAACCCATATCTCGTTTATATGCAATTCAAAGAAAACTGTGGTCTTTATCTTCTGTAAACACGTAACTTAGTGTAATGAAGTAGTAACGACCGTCGAACGCTCCGTTAACATTTTCGTGTCAGATGGTCATGGCGATATTATCACGTATCGACGTGGAATGTTTCGCAAACCACAGCAAAGATGTTTGTTTCTGTCCGAAATATAAATTCTGCGTCCAATTTACTTCTTTGATCTACTTTATAGCAGACACCACTGGAAACTAATAGAATCATATATACTGAGCGCTTCAGTTGGAAAGATTTTTATTTGTTCATACAGACCGACAAACGAAAGAAACTGAATTGATTCTAAATACCTAAACTATACTTATGCGTGTATCGTCGAAATATTTGTATTCTATCTATGCAGAGGAATTATTTACAACTATGATCCATCGTCTCATGGAATGCGACACTCCTTCTATCTAGGCTGAAGTAGCTGATTAAAGAGTGTTATTTGAGGAAAATTCAATAGAAATGACCACATGTAAAATTCTTTAGCATCCTTCACGAGTAAATGAGTATTACATGGGCACGACATGTGTCTTTCGACAAGGAAGACATTGTTTAATAATAAGTCGGATTTCACGATCAATAAAAATAGTCATAACCTTTTCTATGACTACAGCTAACGAGATAGACATCACTCCCATGGCATAAAATAGATTAACTTCGGTGACAAAGTAGAGCACAGTTGGAGTACCACCTGATATGTAAATACCAAGTAGAATCATCATATTACGAAGGACTTCAACGTCACGGTTTTGTCGGACGACCATTACCATAGCGGACAATATCGTTTTACGACGTTTGATTCGAACATATATGTAAATATAAAGGGCAATGATGAATGCGATGGGGAAAATGTAGCATGCTAAATAAATGTACGCCGAATGATACAACGATCTTCTTGGTATCCAGCAGAGTGAAAATGGACGAAAAACAATGTCTTTTCGAATGAACACTGATATTGGTACGATAATCACTATTATCCAATGAATAGCAATCAAGATGATGTGCGTTTTGAACGTGAGTAACCAGCAATGTTTTCGGGAAAGTATCGAAAAGAAATATCGTGATATCGCTTGAACTAAATACGAATAGACAACAGATGCAATTGACATATAAGCGAGATAACCACGCCATTGACACGATAAATTACTTGTATCCCATAGGATAAATCCAAGATGAACATAATTATTACACTGAATAATACAGAAGAGAATCGATGATACACATGTATTGCAAATGAGCATATGTGTAATTGTATGCAAATTCTTTTTTGTTATAATTAAAATTAATATAAAACATGCAACAGTTATAGCGATGACTGCACAACCCACTGTCACGGGGATGACGATGTAGTATTTAGCAAAACGGGCTGGTATTTCTGTCACTCTTATTGTACTCGAGTTCATCTCTGATCAAGTCAGGAACATGTAGACATGAAAAATTCGTGCGAAAAGAACACTGATAACTGTTTAACACGCAACCACGTGCTGTAAGTGATCTGATATGTGAATTGTTCTCTGTTCTACATCTGCTCTCTGTGCTTCGAGCTCGTTTTACCTTCAATCAATACGAACGTGAGATATTAACGAAAGAAAAGTAAAATAATCTTGTGTCATGTCCTTAATTTCTATTAAATGCATGCACATCATAAGAAAAGTAGAACTATCTGCAAATTAGATGGAAAAGAAAGTTCTGAACTTTCTATGTACTATATTCTAGAATTTTCACCAAGTCTCTTCAATTGAGAGACAAATATTTTCCTGTTCGAAAAAGTACAGAAAGAAAAACTGAAAATATTGGATTAGTCAACACGCTCAAGGGATCTTCGATGTATCGTCAAAAAATACTTTTCATTTCCATCGTAAATATAACACATCGCCAATGAATTCAACCGAACAGATCCAATTAAAATCTTCACGTTCAATTTGCTTGTGTAGTCTACCAGATAATATTGAATGCGCATCATGGATAATAATTGAATATAAACGAGAGATTTCATCATGAGTATATGTTAGAAGAAAGCGAACAATATTTTCCAGATCGTTTTCTCTGATTTTCATTTCTAAGATTTCCAAACGAGGAAATGTGTCAATCAAATCTTGAACGTTCTCATATGTCAATAATGTTTGGAAGATAATGCGTGGAATTATACAAGAGCAAGTCTTTTTCGAATAGTAGTACGTTTTGAAAGTTAAAACCTCTATATTTGTACAAAGGTTTAGCCAATCTATCAGATTATCCATCATACAAGTGTTACTTGTGATTGTTAAACGTTTCAGTTGTTGATACGGCATGGTATTCAGAATCTGATGGAATAGTGATGCATTACCAGAATTTTGATACGCAGGGAAGAATGTTAGTTGTGAAGATTGAAATTCAATGATGGTTTTCGCGTCATCAATAGTAATATTATGGATCGAACGTGCATCCCGAGTACTCGATGCACGCATTTGGGAATAGAAGAGCATGTAGAAGGTGTTGTTAGTGTTGAAAGTTTGAAAGGTGAAAAACCATTTTCTTTTCCACCAGAAGGACGAATTGAATTCATTTCGAATGAGATCGTATTCATTTAAACTAGAAATTTCTCCAAAGTGTTGCATTTCAAACGTACGAAGATCTGGAAAATGAGACGAGATCAAGCGTTGCCACCGTTTTGCATCCGTCGAATCCATCTTTGAATATGACGAAATACGTAGTATCTGAATTTGATGACATAATTTCGATAAGAATACTTCCAACTGTTCAACCTGTGTTGAAGTTTGCAAATGTAAACAAGTCAAATGTTTCACTAGCAATGGCATCAGACTATCAGTACTAAACATCGGCGAAAAGCAACTCACTTCCGCATGAACGAGCTTCGGGAGATGTCGAAATATGTCAGTTACATTCTTCACAGTATACGACGTCCTACTCACAAAATATTCTATTGGACTAATTTTAGCGCATAAGTTAGCCAACTCAAGGAATTCGATCTTTCCATTAAACGTAGTATTGCAATATTTCAGAACAGGTAGAGCCAATAATGCGTCGTGAACATCACGGAGGAATGTAATGGCCCCAACCATCGTAGCGGTAAGTGAGAAAAGCCGTGGAAGTGTTGAGAGAGTTGTTAGGATAGAAACTAACTTCAATAGGTTTACTTTATGAAGCACCAACGATTCGAGGCGAATGAATGACGAATCCAATGGAATTAACGAAAGAACATAATCGACAGCGGTTGGATTTGAGAAACGAAGTGATAAAATATCAGCCACAGGTTTAGATCTTATGTATTGACAACGTTCTGATAAGCTGACTCTACTTGCGGAATGTATAGAAAATTTCCATGGTAAACTTAAATATTTGAAAAACTGTTGGAAACGACGGTTTAATTTTGAAAACACGGCGTATGCATCACAAATGTCAAGATATTCAATGATTTCATAAAAAATCTCATTTGATAAATCCTCGAAACACGTCATTTGAATTCCAGTGGAAAAAACGTGTAAGTTTAACTTAACTCGAAGAAAAAAACAACTGTTTTTATTCAAGAACGCAAGTAACATAGAAACACGACGACGTGAGTAATGTTTTGATCACCAACGAGATGAGAGCATTTTTAATGGCAGAACTCTCTTTTTCAATAATTTTCATTTGATTTTGAGAAGTAATTTGCTGTGAAAAGTGTTGTTTCCGCTATCTTCAATTCGTTCCCTCGTACGACATGGCCTTCTCTGTTGTACTATTTTTAAATTACAATACAAAAACTATTTGTTCTTAGTGAATTCAATAACATTGAGTCTATTAGATCAAGGAGACAAAAACTACCGTCACTGAAAGTCTGGACAAAGTATTTTCATTAATATGCAATTAATTAGTACGAGTACTAAAACAACTCGCATGAATATACGTTGTTGGTTTGCATAAGGTGCAAAAATCTGCGAGTATTTTGTCTTCTCGTTTTAAAGCATCGTCTGCAACGACAGAAGATATTTCAGCGCCTTAGAATCAAAGTTTGCCTCTTGCAGAGTAAAAGAACAGATGTGAACAAATCCGTAGTCAATTCGCGTGTTCTGAAGATTTATGTGCAACAATAGAGATAGTCTGAAGGTTTTAATATTCTTTGATTTATTATCGATGTTACATAGGAATACAAGAAAATTTTTATGCGAGTAAGAATACTATAAAAATGGAAAGCAAATGAGATATTTCGAGGGTGTATTCCGTTATTGGCTGCTTTGCATCATCGTTCAGATTACCATCTTCGGAATGGGAAACCATAGTTGCCAAATGTTGGATAAGAACTTCCGTATGTTTGTCCAGCAAATGGATTTGTCAAACCGCTGAGATAGCTGGAACCATAGGGATCTATAGAAATGTCGAATAAATAGAAAGAACAATTCCCTTGAACCTTGAAAATCACTTACTGCTGATTGAAGTTGTCAATGTTGGACTAAGCCAGCTGCTTGATTGTAAATCACGTTGAAGTGAAGCATAAGGATTGTAACTGTTTCCCCACATGTTCTTGCGTTGGTATGTCGTTGAGTGTAGTAATATGAATATGAATGTAGAATGAATACAACTGATGGAATTTGACAAACTATTTATAGGACAGGTGTTCTACGAGGAAGAGACGAAGAAAATTGGTCACGCATGTCTCTTTTCATTGAATCAATGTTTGTAAGGTTAACAATGTTACCTTCACTTGACAACTGACAATGAATTTCTTTTTGTTATTCATAAACAAAAGATTTTTGTCCTTAAACTACCATATGTGAGGAAGAAGAATAATAGAAAAGGAAGAGAATTGATCAATCATAACTTAATCTCTTTTCAATATATACATATATCTATCGATGATAATAAACTACAGAATTATACAAGCTTATACCTTTACATATGTTCTTTCTTTTGTTGAGCGTGTATTTATTCTTCTTTTTATTGTTCAAACTTTTTTTTATCGTACCTATTGATCTTTCTGTCCTTGACGTACATGGTCATTTCACGTCGAATGTAATGACAACAAAGAAAGAAAACCTCTACACAATACTTGTACATGAGCAATGTTCATCAGTCCGTATCGACTATACTTTCGAAGATACAACACGTTGGATAAATCGAGCATATGGAAAGAAAAATCTCACGATTGTATAGGCGTATTTTTATTTCTCTACAACGAAACTATGGCTTATTTATTGTACTTATGAAAATCATATTCTAAGAAATGTTTCTGGCGTTTTATCAATATTTATGGTGAAAAATAATCCATAAATACGTTTTTGGAGACAAAAGAAAGGTAATTCAATCTATAGTTCTTGTTTATCTTGTGCATTTAACCTATGAAGAGGTCATAAAGAGACAATTTCATTGTTGAGAAAAACGAAACAAAATTTAAAGCACATTTCGTAATGGTAAGTCAATTTAAGTATGCTTACAACAAAAGTGATATAGTGAATTTGACTTTAGTTCTCTCGAGTGTAAATTCAACTTTAAAGTTGTAATTGAAATGTAGATTTCTTGCCGATTGTATTTCGAAGTCGTTGTTTGCCATCATCGGATAGATTACATTTTTCTAAATATAAAGATCGCAAAGTATGATTATCACTTATTGTATCAATAATACTATCGATACATCCATCTCCTATGCACACGTTTCGACTCAGACTTAATGATTTTAGGCTAGAGTTTGGACTTTGTGTTAATGCGTTCATGAATGATATGACGCCTTGATCGTCGATCAGGTTTCTCTCAAGATTCAACATTTGGAACACTTGTGGATAGCGAATCAATACGTCTGCTAGTGATGCTGCACCTCTGTTCGTTATTTGATTATCGATAATAAAGAATCTTAAATCAGAGCGGTCATATATAGTTTCGATCAGATGACACATTAGTTCATCTCCTAACCGATTGTTTACAAGATAAATCGTCTCTAACTGGAGATTGCTAGCGACTATGTTCACCAGAACATCGATCATCGTATCGGTGATGGCTCCATTGGTTAAGCGCAGTATTTTAACACTTGATCCACTCAAACTTTCTGTACCACTACTGAGAGAGTGACTAGACATTTGCGAAGTAAGAAAAGATGATAACGTTGGTTTCTGTGGCTCTGCTCGAGATACTGTCGAACCAACTTGTGGACATGTTGACGTATCAGAATTAATGAGTTCGACCGCTGATGACATTGTTTCGTTGGTATTTCTTTCTGACGGAGTATCGAACCATACTTTCTGATGTGTTGTACTTTTTTCCGCTGTATTTGCTTCGTCATCTGTATTCGTTTCAACATTTGCAGTTATCGTGTAGTCCGTATTTGCTTCAGCATTTGAACTTGTTACAAGATCTGTATTAACTCCAGTATGTGCGATTACTATACTATCTGTATTTGTTTCAGCATGTGCCATTAGTATGTAATCTGTATTTTCACTAGCATCCATCGTCGACAATGGTTGATCGATGTTGGAAGTCAGTTCAAAAGTCGAAGAGATGGAACTGTCAGTTTTTAGAAAGTGGAATGGTGGCTCCGTTTCTTTTATATGAATTATCCATCGACCAGGACCCACATTTAAGCAATCGATAACGATAAAACTACGTGCGGTAACGAGAAGAATCTCTTCTTCTTTTGCATAATGTGAATATTGTCGAATATCTTTTCCTGTAAAGGAATCAATAATAAACAATGTTCCATCACCTTTATCTCCAAAAAAAAGATTCGATTGCAAAACACTCAGCGAAGTAGTACAAGAGGAGAAACCCCACCATACAAAGTCCTTGCCTTTCGTATAAGATCCACTGAGATCCTGCTTGACACCTCGATAAACTATTCCATGATATGACGGTAGATGTGATAATGCGGTAATAAGTAATTTCAAATAGAGAAACCAACATTTGAGATTCTCTTCTCTTTCCAACGTGCAGCAGCGTAGGGTTGAATTAAGCGTGAAATATAAAGACATTTTCGTATTGCTTTCCATTGTATAGACTGTGATGGCTGCAGAAAGGTCTGCTGCAAGTTGAGTTGGACAATTCTTATGATTTGCTTTCGCAATATACACCATTTTGTCAATATTAGGAACCTTTTCCCTAATCGGTTCGACAGCTTCTTCTAATGAAACCAAAGGCATTTGTTCGTACCCTTCGATGGGAAGTAAAAATTTCATCGGCTCGCCTACTAAATCCGAGAGACGTCCACTGTAACCTGACTCTGCGGCACTTTTATCATCATTGGCCATGATGGTGTTAACAATTGAAATGAATATGCTAGCTTCAAAGCTCTACACACTTACTAGGTAATTGTCACTGTTTCAATCGATCAAACAAAGTAGAAATGTAAAAAAACCCTCAGATTTCATCGTTATTTTTACGAACTCATTTCTCTGTGAAAAAAAAACGAAACAAAGCACACCTAAGTCGAGCACAAGCAAAGGAAGAGAAAAACAAACCTCTTTCATTGTAATTATTTGCCTATACACACAAAGATGCCCAATTGCGGGATCGTAGAAGCAATATTTTCATGCAGTAAAAAATCACAATTACTGAGATGAGAAGTCTTTTCGATAACAGATGTTAAAGCGAACTCTGTAGATTTTATCACGGACTCCAAAGAATTTGGGACATAAGCAACGTTGAACTAAGAATGAAAACGATTTAAATGCTTCTTGCAACCCACGGAAATGACGTCATGGCCAATCTAGCAGAAGTAGCATTTGTGCAAAAATTTCAACTTTTCCCGCATTGATAAAAGTTCGATTCATTTTGAAGCACTTAAAACTGAATGATCGGATGAACTCACTTCACGGTCTAGGCCCAAATGTTCAAGATCTGTGATACAACGGGCCAGAACAATGAGATGCTCGATTTTCCTTTCGCATATTTTCAAAGTTAATTTCGATAAGTTTGTACTTGGTTCTATTATTACTACCACGATAATATACACACACGTGCAAAGAATATGCTAATGGAAATATGAGAATAAGTCTCCACGCTTCATTTCAGTATCTAAATAATCTAAAGTTGAACTTCTTAGCTGGCAGGTATTAGCACAAATGAAAACTATACCGAAGAGTTTCTACCAGATGATTGCGAATATTTGATTTGACAATAATTCAGTTATGGAATAGACAGAACGAATTCAATGACTATCTCTTCGCGTATTTAAATACCGCTAATGATCGAAAGCGGAGTAAGTCCGCATAGAACTTTTTATTTATATTAAATGACAATCGTAACACTTCAAACATTTCAGTCGTTGCCAAGAAATGACCAGTTGAAAAGTGCATGCAACAATATATGATGATCAATGAATAATCGATTGAAATATGTTTTTAAATTGAAGAATATTGAATATGTTCGAGAATGTGTACCCTCACCCACACCCACCCTTATTCACAACAGGGTAATGTATTGGTACTCTTTTATTTGATTTTCTAAATACGTGGTAACGTGTACACTCGTTCTTTTTCTCTTTCCTTAAGTACATACTGCGTCAATAATATACTCAGAAAGTGAAAGTTTAGTTGTCGATTTTTTTTCTTTTCTTCAGATGAAGAATTGTATCCTCGAAAGAATCTTTTACGAATATCGAGAAAAACAATCTTTTGACAGAAAACTATAACGAATATACACACGAGTTTGTGCATTTGGGTCAACATCAATCAAAACGAATTGAATCAGAGCGAGAGAGAGAGAGAGAGAGAGAGAGAATGTAATTGAAATCTTTCGTTGTCACCAATTTATATAACAAGAAATAATATTGATATTATTCTTTTCTGTGTATATTTAAATGATTGTTAAATATGATAATGGATAATTTAAATAAGGTCAGCAAGTTTGACGATCTAATTAGATTTATGAAAATAAAGTTCCTTCGTCAATTTTCTCAATTGGAAAAGCATCTTTTGTTTGAGCTTCAGTAAGTGCTTGACGTGCAAGAGACGACCAATCATGAAAATATATTGACATGTCATCATCAGCTGTTATTCGAATACCATCAGGGAATAAAAGTCTTTCGAATTGAGTACTATAAGAAGGAACAGCACAGAAAAATGTTGTCTTTTCGGCATATGTTTGTATCAGTTCATTAATACTTCGATTCTTATCGTTGGAATGTATGAAAAGATCTTCAAACGCCAGGAATGTTCTTAATCGACCAGTATAAGTGAAAGTTTTAGGTGAAATTGAACGCCATAAACGAGTTTTTCCAAAGACAATCGTAGTGTATTTGTTTGTATCAAGTATTCCTTCGAATTGACAACCATGAAAATAATTGGGATGATAAACAAAACAAGGTTCATGTGTGACAAAGAATTCGATTGTATCAACGAGCATTTCCGATTGTAAAATTAAATTATCTTCGATAAAAAATAGAATCGTATCTAAATGAATATCGGAATTATATTTCGTATGATTTAATATGAATTTTAGAGTCATGTCTTCTCTATGATCATTTGTGGGAATGATATGCATTCTTCTTGTATACGGTTCATAAATACTTTTAAACCACATTGTTAAACGTTCGTACATCATATTACTGAAATGTTCACTAAGAAAAATCAAAATATTCGTTCGTAGTTGTTGTTTAAAGGGTAATTTTTCTAGATTTTTTGAAAGTAAATAAGAAGAAACGAGTTTTCTATAGAATTCGTGATTATTTTCTAGTTTCGATGAGAATTGTAATATGAGATAAACATCTGATAGAAGAGTAATCGTATAATTTGTGAAATAATATTCACCAATAGTACTGTTGAATTCTAATGATCCTAATGAAACACTTCTTCGTAGAACTGAGTTACATTGATCATAAATATCGTTTTTCATCACATTTGTTATGTTTTGAATTTGTTTTCGAAAGATTATCGGAACAAAAGATTTTGTTGAAAAGATTGATAATGATGGAAAATAGATTAATATTTCATAAATAACAAAAATCCAAAAGATGAGTAGAATAATGAGAGTTTTCAATCGAATGTGCTTAACAAATAATAGAGAATTAATTAATGATCTAAATCAACTAATTATGATTTTCATACTTTGATTTTTCGTCGGAATACGAAACATTGTGAAACTTTTCTCATCGAATATGTTCTTTTGTCTCTTTGAAAATTCTTCATTTTCCTCTTTTCTCACTTTGGCTTCTTTCCAACACAAAAGAATTGATTACTAATCAAAATTATTTACATAATTTTCTATTTTCTAATTTCATTCGAATCAACTGCGAACATAATACAAAATCAGTATTTCTACATCATCTCGAATATTCTCATTTCTTATTAAAGAACGAAATGCGGATTAAGTATCAATCTTCTTTGTATGGAACACGTGTGTTGTTCGTATAGTTTATGTTTGCACGTTTCTTTTCAAGTTCCAACATGTGTGTAGGATTTATTTGGATATTAATTATATCAACGAATATTTCTGTACGATCTCAGCTTCTTTCATCATCTTCTGAGTATTATTTGTGACTTATTCTTATTTAATTCATGTAATATCGCGTTTCTATATTTGTAATTCTTCATAAATATCGATCTTTATTAACTTTTCACCCTCAATTGGATGCAAATTCTAGTTATTTGGAGTTGTGCTGGTATTTTCACTTGTTGTATTTTGTTAATATTATTAGAAATCGATTTAATTATAGAAAAATAAAACTTGAAAAGAAAACCGAAGATTGAATGAGATGCTCTTATTTCATTGATTTATACAGATCTACATAAAATTAATCATAGAATTAAAGTATTTATTCCATTTGTACACAAATCATTCGAAATGATTACCTTGACATTTCATTGTTGGAATGAGTAATCTCATATGAATCATTTTTAAGTGGCATCTCAATGTTTTATATGTAAACAAAACATAGACGTCTTTTACACACGATGTGTCAGATTAAAGTACAGGTGATATTTCGAGAAAAATAATGTTGAAAGAACTCATATAATTCGATATTTTGCGAAGGATGAAATTGTTCCTCTTTCGATCTACAAGTGCTCTTCTGTTGGAATGACGAAATCATGATAGATGAATCATTCATATGGAAATATATGTAAATAATGTTGCAAAAGGATGTGAATAAAAAGCGAAAGCTACATGAAATATTAGTTTCAGTATACTCTGTTAATTTTCTTTTAACAGTAACTCATATCGATCGATTCAAAGAAGATGGTACCGGGTGTTCTCGAAGTAACGATCGTTGAAGGACGTAGTTTGAAAAACTGTGCTTTTTTTGGAGAAAATGATGCGTACGTAGAAGTGTATACTGAAAAAAAGTATAAACAACGTACACGAACAATTAAAAACAGTAACAATCCAGTTTGGAACGAACAACTTCGATTCAATATTCATAAAGGCGATGATACAATTCATTTTGATGTTTATGATGCTGATTTAATCGGTCGAGACACAATTGGTAAATGTAAAATTAGACTCAAACAAGTTTTTGATGATGGTGAATTTGACCAATGGATCAAACTACCAGCACATTTTGGATTATCATCTCGTGGTGAAATTCATGTTATGATGACTTTTACAGTAAATTGATGTTCTTCTTAACAATTTATATTTACTTTTTTCTCTCTATTTTAGCCTGATTAGTCCAAGACTATGAACGATGATTTCGTTTTATACATTTTATACACCAGTTCATGCTTTTACTATATGACTTTTTCTGTATAATAAAGGTAATTGATCATTTTCAAGAAAAGTACTTCGTCAAAGATTCTGTTAATCATGAATAATAACTGTTGCGAGGAGCTCAGTGGAAATGTTTATATTTAAACTATAGATAGAAGACGTATTTTCCAGATATACTCTCGCTTGGTGAAGATTGCTTGTCATGTATTACCACATCTCGATTTCGTGAGAAAATATTTCCTTGATCTGTTGGAAAGGTATGAAAAGTCACGGCGTAGATTATGTATAAAAATTTATGGTAACAGTGAGTTGTAGCCGGGTGAATATTATTTTATTGGTGAAGTCGACTTGATATACGATAGAGAACAATGCTGAAAGAGCGTTGAATGCGTGAAGGATACAAGAAGCAAAGCAAGTATGAAAGAGTGCTGAATGAGTAATGAGTAATGAGGAAAGTGAAAGCCAAGAGTAGAAATTATACGAGTTTTTAATTGAGCAAGATGATTATTCCGTAAGCAATGATCAATAAATATTGCGAATATTGTTGAATTTGAGCAAAGGATGATGATGCAGGATATGTTGTTGTTGGTCTAACCATTGATGTTCCATTGGTACGCGCGCTTGAGACCATTGACACTGCTGCTGCAGTCGACGAACTCGAGACCACTGACACTGCTGCTGCAGTCGACGAACTCGAGACCATTGACACTGCTGCTGCAGTCGACGAACTCGAGACCACTGACACAGCAGCTGCAGTCGACGAACTCGAGACTGGTAATGTCGATGACTGTTGTGTTGACGACGACGATGAAGAAGAAGAAGAAGAAGAAGGAGAAGGAGAAGGAGATGGTGTACTTGCTCCTGCTGATGTTGAGCGTGATGCACTTACTGATGGTGTTGTCGATCCAGACGCAACCGAAGTCGCCGACGAGCTTGGGGCACCTAAGAAAATATATAAGAATGTTTACTTATCTCAAACACTGTCTCACAATCTACTATTCAATTTAAAACTTACTACAACGGAGAGAGAATTTCTGAATACGATTATTGCTGCTGTCACTAACAATAATAGCTCCATTCGGATCAAGTTTCACATTATATGGATAGTACAATTGACTCGGCAATACTCCATATGCCGTGTCACCAGCAACCATCATTCCAAATGATGCTCCGATCATCCATCTCATAATACGATGATTGGTATTGTCAACTATGAATACGTATCCATTTTGATCTTTGACAACTGCCACTGGATAGCACAGTAAACTAACATCGCTACCACAGACAGATGTTTGACCGGCAACTGTTGTTCCGTTACTTGCACCCCATAGCCATTTTTGAATTCGGTGATTGTTTGTATCTGCAACATAGAATGTATTCGAATCACTTGTATCCACAAATATTCCATATGGATATCTGAATTTATCAGCTGTTGATCCAGAACTTCCACAGACAACCATTCCCGTTGTTGCGGATGGTGTCCAGCGAACTATTCGATGATTAGACGTATCAGCTATCCAGACGATTGATGTATTTGTCTCCACAAATATACCATAAGGTGAATTTAATTGGCTTGTACCGATTCCTGACCCGTTATTACCAGCAACAACAACACCACTACTTGCTCCTGGTGTCCATTTGACAACTCGCCTGTTCCTTGCATCCAGAACGAAGATATTGCCACTATCATCAACATTTAGACCGTCCACTAAAATGCGTAAAAAGAAAATGTTACTGCATTATAATGACAAAAAAAAATTATTACGGGATCCAAATTGGTTGAGAGCAGAGCCTGAACTGCCGGTCACAACAGTTGTGCCAGATGTTGTATCAGGAAGGAAGCGTTGTACTCGATAGTTGTCAGAATCGGCTACATACAATATACCATTCTTGTCGACAAACGCATCGTATGGACTGTCAAGATAGTTTTCATCAGAGCCATAGTAACCTAAATTTGAGCCAGCAATGGTGGTAGCATTGAACACGTAGGGAGTCAAAGAACAACTAAGATTCGTATCGGGCACTGAGGGAAAGAAACGAAAAAAGGTATATTATGCGTTATTTCACTTATTCCGTTCTTACTTCTTGTTGTTGGTGCTGGTGTCGTCATCGAGACATTATTCGCTGGCGCTACAATCACAAACAAAAATATTGATCTTCCACACACACGTACACATCCATAATTTTACTTACCACATGACATAGGAAGCTTTTGAATTCGATGGTTATATTCATCCACAACATATAGTGACCCATTTGAATCAAAATCCAAGTGTACTGGCTTATCGAACTGATATGCTTGTGTTCCTGAATACGAATAGCCTGTAATAATCATACCGGAACTTGTTCCAACCGTCCACTTCATAATCCGATTATTGTCCTTATCAACAATAAACATGTTTTGATTATTGTCTACCATGACTGCGGATGGCTGTTGCAATTGATTGAGGCCATATCCATAATATTCTGTTATTCCTGCAACGGTCACTCCAGTTGTTGCACCAGATAAAAATTTTTGGATACGATGATTTCCCGTGTCGGCCACATAAAGAGCATTTGCATCGTTTGCATCGACATATACGCCAAATGGATATAGCAACTGATCATTACCAGTTCCATAACCTCCACAAACAACAGTACTTGTTGTTGGTGAAGTCCATTTGACAATACGATGATTATTTGTATCAGCAATCCAAATAGTTGTTGCACTTGTATCATCCATAAACATTCCCATGGCTCCATCAAATTGATTAGTGTCGCTTCCAACACCATTGCCACCAGCAACAATTGTTCCATTGGAAGCGCTCGGTAACCACTTGGTAACACGAGCATTATCGCCATCCAATATGTATATGTTTCCGTTACTGTCAATAGACATGTCATTCACTACGGAGAAAGAAAAAGTGATATAAGTGAATAATCATATCGATCAGCATCAAACTTACTGCTAGAAAATTGATTGGCACCAGCACCAGAAGTACCATTAATCACTGTTGTTCCAGTAGTAGAATTCGAAAAACGTTGAACGCGATAGTTGCTTGAATCTAATACATAGAACACACTGTTGCTGACCACGCACACATCCAATGGATAATAAAGTCTGGTTGGAGTCGATCCTGACGAGCCTGATTTAGAACCAGCTACGGTTGTTGCATTGGGTTGCCATGTTGCTGTCGGACACAGAGTTAATAACGAACATGTCTTGGACGAATATCTAAAATATGAATTTGTTCATTCAGTAGTATATCGTAGGGAATGAATCCTGTATTATTTACATAACCATGAGTACTGCTATGAGCCATAGCTGATTCAGATGAAAATTGATCATTTTGACGAAGAACTAAACGATTCAAAAAAGAAATTATTTATACCATTAAGTTCTGTATATGGTATCAAGGAACTTATTATACGCTGTTATCATATTTTTCTAGAAACTCATTAACTGAGCAAGTATATGGTACGGAAATAGCAATCATAAATTGTTTTGTTCATTATTATAGCATACAGATATGGCTCTACTTTTTCGAAGATTTCTATCAAATATGTAAACATCCCGTGTTCATTGTCGCATTTTTTTCAATGTCAAAGATTTGTGTACTTCATCTAAATTAATCGTAATTCTAGCCGAGGGATGTTATCATTATCTAACAAGTGCAGTGTATTTGTCTTTCTATGAATTCGAAATGTATTCAAGTAACTATCAGTTATTTGTTATAATAAACAATCGTATTCAACAGAAGATATTTATGTGCCAGTGAATTTCTTTGGAAGTTCTAAGAACAAAATAGCTTTACTTACAGCTTGATAAAATACTTGTTCTGAAAAATGACCGTTATACTTGTCGGCTCGAGCTCCTTTTGTACTAACAATTCTGGGACAATATAATTATTAAGTAGAGAAGAAAAAATAGATTCTTTTAAGAGAGAAAACTATATTATGGTTGAAATATTTCCGAGATATCTTTTTGTTAGTTGATGGAAAATGAAGTTACTTTCAACGATTTCATCATTAAATGCGTATATTAAATCAAATACTACCGCCCTATCGTTATTTTCGAGCGTTTAATCTACCTAGAGTATCCACGGAGAAACTCTATATTTTATTCAGTCGCGCACGAAATTTTTCTTATCATATGTACTTTGTACTGATCGTTCATGTTACATCAGGAAAAGTAATAAACATTTAGTAGCACAATCAAGAAAAAAAAACTCGAGCATAATGACAAAACAATCTTGAAGGCTCATTCAGTTATAAATGTGAATTAGTTGCCCATTCCATTTGTAATCATACGCAAATCTGGAGTGACGAGTAGCTCTGTAGAGGGCGTTGTTGAGCAGAGAGAAGAAGAAATACTGTTTTCTTATTCGATCAAATTATTTTATGACAGAAAGAGAAAAACATGAATACAAATAAACTTTCGATTTCCAAGCCGTCATAACACGAAAACATCGAATGATATGAAGTTTGAATATCTTCCCAATGAAATATTACTTGATATCTTCGAATATTTCCATCTCCGCGATCTCTTTCAAACATTTCATAATCTTAATTTTCGATTAAATCAACTTCTCTATGAATCTTTTCGTTCTTATTCATTGGATTTGCGATCGATCTCACGATATGATTTTGACATCATCTGTCAACAATATCTACCAATCATTCTTCACAAAATCACGTCAATTCATCTAGCTGATAACGATGAAACACCAAATCTGCCACAGAGATTTCTCTCACAAAGTATTTCAGTGGATCAATTCACTCATCTCAAATCGCTCTCAATACATTCGATTCAATCAATCGATCTAATACATCAAATCATTAAACAATCTCAGCAAGTCACACATCTGAAGATAATCAAATGCTTTTGCGAATACAAAGACATTCAACTAATTAATCAGATTTGGAGTTTACCGAAATTAACCTTTTGCCATCTTGACAATCTCATTTCCAAAGGAGTCTACTTCTCGGAATTATTGACTCCGTCGTCAACAATAAAATATTTATCGATAAAAAATATTATCTGTGATTTCCGTTCTTTATCGTATGTTTTGCAAAAAACACCTTCTCTTCAACATCTATCAACTACCATCGTATGTACAGAGAAATTCGAAAAATTTCCTCCGCCCACAAATCCATTGTTGACTAAACTGACTCTTTCATACGATGGTTCGATACCATCGCTGATGAATCTCTTCCAGCATATGCCTCTTCTACGTTCGTTGACTATTAGCACGTCGTATCTGTTACTAGATGGTGACGAATGGCAAGCAATACTCACGGATTGTCTTCCGCAATTGAAATATTTTCATTTTAAAATGTCGTTTCAATTTCCGCAAAACTATGACACAAACGACGCTGCTGACGAACTTTTAGCTACTTATCAAAGTGAGTTCTGGATTAAAAAACATCAATGGCATGTTCAATGCGATTGGAATGCATCCGATCCATTTTATGGTGCAATTCTTTACACTCTTCCATATGCGTTTCATGATTATCATTACGTGAATGACTCGTGCTCGAAATCGACCTTACCAAATAAGATTGCTTGTCAAACTCATATCCATGTGAAAAATCTTCAATGTGAACATAATATTCTCAATCATTTCATTTACTCGTCAACGAAATTTACAAATCTTTCCCATCTAGATCTGATTCTTCCATTTAACGGCGAATTTCTTCAGAATATTTCGACATTTACTCATTTAAAATCACTCGACGTCACTTTATTATCGAGCCGAGACGCCTACCAACAATTACAATGCCTTTTAAATCATACACCTCATCTCTATCTTCTAAGATTTTCTCATCTATCGGACATGAATGAAGCTCTATTCTCACTAAGTAATCCCTCCATTCGTCGATTGGATTTTTTAAATAAACAATCAATGATTTACAATTGGTATTTCAACACAGATGAATGTCAAGCATTAACGAATTCCATCCTCGGACGTCAATGTCAAACGCTGATAATCGACGTTCAAGCTCGAAATGATGTTCTTGATCTTGTCAATAATCTAACTAATCTCCGTTCATTGATATTTCAATGTAAAGACGATAAAGGCAAACAAAAACTTCTCTCTACGGTGGACGATGAATTAATTCAATGGTTTCATGAACATTTACCTTCGACATGTACAATATCGAGAGATGCACATATCAGTTCGATTATTCAAATGTGGATTCGTTGAGTATGAATGAACAAAATAGACTTGTTTATTTTTATACGACATAAACAGACTAATAAAGATATTTCATCTTCAAACATTTGATTTCAATCTGAAAGATCGGTAAAGTGTATATCATATGTCATGGAAAATAAATCGATGAAAATGAATAGTTATTTTTCATTAGGTTTGTTTTTAATTAACTGCTTGACTTGTTGTTTTCGACGATAGAGAGCACATAGAGGAGAAAGAAGAAAACTAAAATATTTTCATATTATTTACTCGAATATCCATACTGTTATTTTGAGGAATCAGCGAACTATGCTGTCACGTATACAACTAATACTTGTAAAATTCAAAGTATCTCAAATAGCATATGAAAAGAATACTTACATAATTAACGATCGTGACAGACAGTACCTGATGAAATATTACTGCACTTCGTTCTTTGTTTGTAATAAACAATTATTTAGTACGGAAAGTTCGTCTTTTCATTCCAAGTCTTTGGGTTATCTATGCATTCGAAGTAATTAATCGCGAAAAAGGCTTCATACTTTTAATTCAGATAGTTTTTATATTTGTCCTTTACCAAAAACGATTATTGCTGGTTATAGTATTTTGATTTTTCAACAAAACAGTGATGTTGAAAGTTGAAGATCAATGTCTAGTTGAGTTTGTTTTTCACATGTCGAGGCAAGACTTTCATTAGGATGTGTTTGTGAATGTCAACCGTTCGTGAACGGCGAGCTCAGGAATCTTATGAGCATGAGTGGAAGAAAACGATAGAAAGTACCGCTTTTTTATGTAGAGAATCCTCATTTCCAGGAGAAAGATCTTCTATTGTAACGCACTTTTTCCCGTAAGATTTCCTATCTTATCATATGTCAAGATATCTCTCAGGATGAGTTCATTTTTCTTTACTTTGTTGATCAACAAACTCGAGTATTCCGTGTGCCTGAAAAAAGTTCGCTTCGGGAAGCCATATATTAGAAAAAAGGACGATAAAAAGAAAAGACTAGTCGTTGCTATTCTCTAGTCTTTTATTCTCAATTACTCTGCTAAGTAACACACAGTGTTATGCCACTTGCATTGATAGTGCGCGAAAATAAAAGGCTTGTTATTGAAAATCTACCTGTAAGATTCGATATTTGATATTTTCATCCAAAGCACAGACAATTTCTGTTTATCCTTTCAGCTACCCAAGTATGATCTTACTGATTTACTGATTAAAGTTACTCATGTAGCTCAAAATCCAACGGATTGGAAGCATGTTCATTTCGGATTGGCAAAAGAAGGAGCTATCGTTGGTTGTGACTTCGCTGGTATAGTTGCAGGCGTTGGCAAAAAAGCAGTCGGTATGTTTATATCCAAGCATCTCCAGACATTGATCGGGCTTTCTAGTGTGAGTTATTGACATAGAATTGATGAACGTCATTATGGTACACAGTAAGCTGATGACGACAGTGATATTTCGTTTTTCATCATCCATTCTATTGAATGTGAGATGACGGTGAAGTTTAATATAGTTACTTAGTCTGCTTCAGCTATTCTTTTCTTGCTATCTCTTTCATTTCTTTCCGGTATCCTATCCATTTCAGTCTATCGCTCTGTGATGGATACGACTATAGATCCGAGAATAAGTCTATGTGTAATTAAGATTAACGCCTACACCGATATTTAACAAGAAATTCCACTCTGAATTATCGAATATTGATTCTCGTTGTCATCTAGGTAATTACAGAAAAGGAGAACGTGTGGCTGGTTGTGTTCATGGTGGTCTCGATCCGGAAATGAACGTTCGTGGAGCTTTCTCTGAATATGTTGTACAAGAAGCTTCACTAGTTTTCCGCTATCCGCCAACATTTTCTCCTGAACAAATTGTCACACTTCCCCTTGTTGCTACAACAGCTGCTCTTGGTCTGTTTCACGAAATGGGCTTACCTCTTCCTCCTGCTACGCTCAAAATCAATTTTCTTGTCTGGGCAGGAAGTACGAGTGTCGGGCAATGTGCTATTCAATTAGCGAAAGCAATTGGTTGTTTTGTTATCACTACGGCATCACCTGCTCGTCATGAATATCTGAAAGAACTCGGTGCCGATATTTGTTTTGATTATGACGATCCGAATATTGTTTCATTGATTAAGGAAGCTACCAATGGAAACCTGGCGTATGGTTTTGATTGTATTTCAGAGAAAGATTCAACTAAATTATTATGTGCAACACTGACAGCAACGCATTCGAAATTAGTCACCGTTTTACCATTCATAAAACGAGAATTACCACCACACATAACAGAATATCGCGTACTAATTTATACGATTTTTGGATTTGAGAAACTTCTCTTTGGACAATATTTCCCAGCCAAGCGTGAAGATAGAGCATTCGCTGAGAAGTTTTATAAGTTAATGACAGACTATTTACTACCAAATGGTTTATTGAAGCCGAATAGAGTAACGAAGATGCCCGATGGACTAAATGGAATCGAAGAAGGCTTCAAACGAATGATGGAAAATCGTGTACAAGCAGAAAAGCTCGTTTATTCTCTCGCGGACACCACCGATTGGGTTTCAATTAAATATCGATGGGACTGTTGTCTGAAATTTTTTCATATATGAACTAAATAAATCTTTATCAGTACCATTGTGTCGACTATTTAAGTTTATCCTTTGAATTCTTCAACATTCGCGTCACATTGAAAAGTCTGGACGGATGAGTCGATTCGATTGCAATTATTGATATTAAACTAGTATTTTATTTCCATCCATGAAAAACATGTGGCGCTATACATAAACTATCCGGATTGGCTACAGTCAATAATATCGAATAGTGAAAAGCATCATTCAAAAATCGGTTTCAATATAGGACTATGGACTTTCGCTAAAAGTGAAAGGAACCATAGGACTACATTCATTGAACATTGTATATTTGAGTAGTTGCTGCAAAACATGAATGAGGTTTATTTTTCATAGCAGAGCTTTGCGTTGACTTCGCTGCATTCTGAAATAATACAAGTTAGGTTTTAGCATTTGAATAGTCTACATACACTTCAATTTCTCATAGCGAATATTTTAAAATTCCGTTCACATTTGATTAAATATCTGTCGTTTATTTCCCCTAGACGTCGTAAACCAAATTTTCAGTCGAAATACATATCAGCATGCCGTTAAATGTAGGTTTTTCAAATATCATTCATCGATCATAAATACTATTTCATTTCTAAGGAATTTTCTTGTGATGAAAGCATAGAAGCTAATGAAGATCGCGATTCACCAAACGAACTAGAAGGACAAGTAGGATAGATAAGTTCTCACTTTTTTCATAGAATGACAAGTGTTCTATATTTGTAGCAAGAATCTGGTCGAGTTAATCAATACATTGATCATGGTCTTCCGGTGCAAGTAGTAGGTACGTGTTTTCCTTGTACATTCAGTTTCTGTAGAGCAATCTACAAATAGAAAAAATAATGCATATAGTTTTAAAATTGAAAGTTGAATTTACAATTGCTTTTGAACTGTTTATTTGTGAAGTATGCTGTATTCATTCTGCTTAGACCCATGAGAAGATGAAAAAAAACGATTGGATTCAAAGGTTTATCATTTTGATTGTGCTTCGTACCGATTTCAGAAATGACGATTATAGCATAACACAGCTGATTTTTGATTGCATTTATTTCTGCTTGACGAGTGAACTTCTTGAATAATTGTTACGGATTGTAAAATAAAACTTCATGTTCTACGATTTCTTTAGCACCAACGGGACATTTCCCACGAAATAGTAATGTTCCGCCATCAAACTCCGCAGGTAGAGATGAATTTTTGTTGTCGTTATCAAGATCATCACTTACTGCTTTGAAGGTTCGAATCCTACAAATGTAGTATGTCATCCCGTGGATTGTTCAAGATCTTGTATGGTATCAACGAATCATGCGCAACGTTCACTTGCACTGAAGCGGCTTTGTCAATCGGTACAACGAAGCGCACATGGAAAGAAAACAAATCGCCGGTATTCTAAAAGAGGTAAAGCTAAAACGGTATTTATTTAAAATGTTGACAAGGATATCAGGAGTGAAGTTGTAATAAGAAGTTAAACAGCTAAATATTTTACAGATAAAAAGGCGATAGTGCATAGGGATGTAACAATACCAATACCAGTACCAATACCAATACCAACCAATACTACCCAATACCAATATCAATACTCCAATACCGTATTGGTATTGTGACATGCCTAGCAAAAAATAGTATTACATCGCCTATACACCGTGCGTTTTCACAGTATTTTTTGCGCTCTCTAGTTAAAAATTGCGTTGAGTATTTCGCCATATCGTGAGTACAATAAACGATAAAATGTATGCGCGAAGGACAGTTTTTTTTGCTAGGATATTTCCACCTATACGGTGAATCATATCAGTCCGACATGAACGAGAATAACGCATTTTATATCTTACGACACGTATACCTGGCTTTTTCCGGCGTACTCATGCATTAAATATTAGAAGAGGTATTTTTATAATCAACCTTAAGTGACAAGTAATAGAAGATGAGTTACGATATACAATGATGATAAGCATCATTCATGTTTACCTTCGTTCGAACACAAAAATATATCGAGTATAAAGACAAACAAAAAATTACTTTGAAATGAATCTTTACTTCTAAAAGAAGAGCACAGTGAATAGTGACCGTGATAAATTCATTTTCGACAGCTCCCCATTTTGTACGATTGCTGCGAGTCACCTATAGGATATGAAAAACGAAACAGTTCAAATATGCTACTTAAATGTATTAATCATCAATAAGTTACTTACATTTGAAATAGTTTCCGTCAAATTATAATTAATAGTATTGCTGTATGATTCATGCCTTTCTTATCCGACACAGACGAAAATAGATACCGTGAATCTAAGTAGAACTATTCGTTGTCGAGTCAAGTGACTTTCTAATGCATTTTTTCTCTAGATGAACTGGTGTTCAGTGGAACTGTGCGGCGCACATCGTAAAACTGGCATCAACAAAGAAACTACGAACGACCACGAAGTTATTACTCACTACCAAAAAAACAAATTCCAATTTTTATCTGCGCCAGCTTTCTCTATCATTCTCATCTCTTCAAGATTTTCTTTTCTGTCATATGTTCCTTTGTTGCATATTCCGATATGAAACACATCCATGGAATTGATTTTCATATTTTTCTTTTCTATCAGTTTCCGCTATTGTTTCTAACCAATATGTTACCAAAATGCATATCTAGTTTTTAACTAACAGCACAATCTCTATTTAATTTTAAGGGAGTCGATACCGAACATTAATCAGCTCAACTATATGGAAAAACATATTCGAGCGATTTAATGTCAATCTGAATTATTGTTAATCCTCATAAGGAAGTAACATAAGAATAATACACATTGATTAATTGCAACATTCTTAGTTAACTCTGATTTGAAAGCATATACCTATTGTGTATATAGAATGACATTTGAACAACATTAGCATGATTTATATTATTGTTCTACGAGTTGAGAGGAACAAATGCAATTTTACTCTATTCCTGACGTAAATGAATGAAAAAAGATATTTACCCGAAGAGAGTGTTATCTGCTTAAGTCGACCAGAATGTTTGACAATGTTTACGAAGACGTTTCTGACTATGAGTTTTGAACAAATTGAATTTTGTTAAGCATAAAACATGTTGCTTTCCATTGTTGTAATGATAACGAACGCGATGAGCATGGTGGTGAATCGCAAGGAAATTCGAAATATTCATTATTTTATTTCAAGACTGATATGAAAATTTCGGACAATTTACTTTCTCTCCTTCTATGTTTAAGTGCATTCGCATTCCATCCTCACTCTCTCTCTCTCTCTCTCTCCATATTCACTCTGTATTGATGTCAACGACTTCGTAGCAATAGTCCTCATCATCTGTTTCTTTTGCTAGTAGGATTTTACCTTCAGTTGAATTTCAGACAGTAGATTTGGCATATATATCGATAAAATCATTATCCTCATTAAGAAGATTATCAGCGGCAAGAAAAATTCAAGAATACTGTAAATGAGTGAAATTAAACAAGACTACCGCTCTGATAGTATACGTTGCGAGCTGTTAGCGATTATATATCACTCTTCTCTTGTTTATGTAAAAGAATGTTATCTTTACCAACATTCCTTCCGATTCTCGTTCCTTTGTTACTCGTTTGGAGTGAGCACCTGTTCTTTCATCCCGAATACAGATATGTAGTCTCATTGAGAGATCGCACGACTGTTTGATTGAAATTGGCACTATCTAAGTTAACATTAGAAAACGAAGCATTTGTGTCATCAGACGAAATTAGTTCGCTGGGACCAATCGAAGTCTAATTCATTCGATCCAAATGAATAGAAGATCTATATTATAAACAAATTCCAGGAGAATTGCTTTACGTTTAACTATTTGTGGAAGGACAATCTGTTAACTTTGAGCAGCAGTTGTACTTGCTATAGCTGGATTGTTTATTGAAAAGTTTTCCGCTAAACGCGTAGTAATAATATTAAAAATTTAATTTGCAAGAAAATCATCTTGTTGTATGGTGATAAAAATAGTATATATGTCAAACAGTAGAAACAATCACAACAAACACACTATTTAAAACGTGATAGTGAAAGCTCATCAGGATCACCTTTAATAGTCATGTGCTGATTGTGAGCCGTACGCTTCGTCGCGATTTACCGGCCTATTTTCGTACAAATTTTAAGGGTCATCTAACCAATTCTTCTGTGCCATAATGCGCGATGGCAACTCACAGTACAGGTAAATATAACAGACTGTTATTTATTCTTTATTTTAATACAACGCGAACTTTTCTGTCGTTCTTTACGTTCGCCCTCAAAGGTAGATGCGTTTACCATGTAAAAATGCATATCACTATGACGAATACATTCTCATATGCTTGTATAAAACTGTGCGCGCACTACATCTACTACACTTATTGGTAGGCAAGAGGTAATATTATATATCAAATGTCTTCAAAAATTAATATCGGATTTATCGGTTTGTCGAAAGGACGTTGGGCTGAACACGCGCATGCACCCTATCTACAAAATTCATCGATTTACAGCATCAAAGCATTAGCTAATTCGACACTTGAGTCTGCGAAATCTGCAGCAGAAACTTTTGGTATTGATAAATACTACGGTACACCAGAAGAATTAGCTCAAGATCGAAATGTTGATACCATTGTTGTTTCGGTTAAAGTTCCATTGCATAAACAATTGATTATGCCTGCTGTACAGCAAGGAAAGAATGCGATCGTCGAGTGGCCTCTCGGACGAAATCTTCAAGAAGCCGAAGAATTGGCTGCATTAGCACGATCAAAAGGTATAAAAACCATGGTGATATTACAGGCACGACAATCATCGGTGATCAAGAAAATGAAAGAGATCGTCGATTCAGGAAAATTAGGAAAGATTCTATCCATACATATTTATGCTAGTGGTTCTGCTTGGGGATCTGCAATTGATACGGCCAATGCGTATGCTGCTAATATTGCAAATGGAGTAACACTGACTTCTGTACCTGGTGGTCATACATTGGACGCTATGTGTTATGTTTTTGGAGAATTTAAATCAGTAACAGCAACAATGCATAATGCAAGAAAGACAATCGAAGTTCGAGATGAGAAAGGAAATAAAATTCGCGAGGAGCCAATGACATCTCATGATCAAATGAGTGTCAGTGGACTCTTAACTTCTGGTGCATACGCATCGATACATTTACGTGGTGGATCGTATAAAGGCACGAATCTTCTTTGGGAAGTCGAGGGCACACAAGGTGAATTGCAAATTAGAGGTACAACTGGACATATGCAACTTTCCTCACCAACATTATTTGCAAGTTTAAATGGTGAAGATCTAACCGAAATAAAGCTCGACGAGGAACAAGGTGCTCATGTTAATGTTGGTCGAGCTTATGATGAATTTGCTAAAAAGGACGGTATTTATCCAAGTTGGGAAGACGCCGTAATTCGTCATCGTATGTTAGAAGCGATCTACAAGAGTGCACAGACCGGTGCAACGCAAACTTATGAACATTAAAGGAACGCATATTCATCATATTTTTTGTTATCTTGTACAAAATTTTCTGAAATATAAACAGCTTTTTTCGCAAATATCCAATTTTCTTACAAGATAAGAAAGATTACTGGCATTATGTGTTATTGCACAATGTGTATGCAATGTATCAGTGATTAAAAACTGATAAAAGGCCTATCTATTTAAGGCACCAACATAGATCTTTTGGACTATGAACAACCAACGAGAATGAATACTTGGCATAGTAAGCAGAAAGCATTATACACACATAGACGGTATTATTATATACGAATCATGGTTTTGTTTAGGCGGACTTTTTGATTGTTTTTCCGACTGGAACATATGCTGTTACGGTTGTTTTTGTCCAGCATGCTTATTTGGTGAAAATGCGGAGAAAATCGATGGAAGCAGTTGTTGTAACTCTGGCTGCTTATGGTATCTCATGTCTGGATGGGGTTTATGTTGTTTAACGCACATAGGAAAACGCAAAGCTTTACGTGAACGTTTCAATCTTGGAGAAGATTGTAACGATTGTTTAGCGACAACATTCTGCAGTGTGTGTGCTATCTGTCAGGAAGCGCGTGAACTTAAACACCGGCTACCATCAACGGAAGGTAGACCAGTGATAGCTCAACCAATGAGTGCTGCCTATAATTCGTTCGGGAAATCTGAACTGAAGAAATGAAGCAGAAAATGATTTTTCCTCTATGTTTTCTGTTATTTGCTTGATATTCACATTGTCTTTACAAGTTCGAATAGGTCACCTTCAGTCCGTTATCTGTCCTACTGATAAAGATCTTTCATGGAGAGTTTTTCTTTTATGTCATTTAATAAAAGAGATCAGAGATGTACACAAAACAGTCAGAAACATGGTTAGATCGGTTTCCTGTCGAAATAGTTTTCGAAATTTTTGATTATCTATCCTCAAATGACATTCTCTCCATATTTTTCCAATTCAATTATCGATTCAATACAATAATACTTCAAGATCATCGACATCTTTCTTGCTTGAAACTACCTCCATCCAACTCTTACTTTTGGCGAACTACGATTTTCGCTATTCGGTCGAATATTCAAACACTGATCATCACTCATCCTGCAGTATGGTTACCATTGAACATCTTCTCGAATCTAACATCAATCATAATCGACTCTGAAACAGAATGGAGTTTAACTCACATTGCATCGTTGTTCAATCTAAACGATTTGAGGCGAATTTATACATTGAAAATTCTCAATGCATCCTCGATCAATGCTAATCTCATCTTACCGAAGGTTTTCCACCCACAAAGTGCTTTACAAAGGTTCCATTGCGAACCGATTATTAATCTTTACCATCACAGTCATTTCAACAATTTACAATCCAATTTAAATCTTCGGACTTTAACAATAAATACAAATCATTTCAAAGATATTTATCGTCTGATTCAGCAGCATGCGTTCAACTTGAAAGCTTTAACAATTCGACTGGGAACGCTTTATACATATGAAAGAGAGTATGATTTTTCGGATCTTATGAAAATTAAATTAGAACAACTATCTATCACGATGAAACAACGAGAGGGAAGAAAAACAGACGATTATTCAATATCACGAATAGATCTTGCTCGTCTAGTTAGCGTCATTCACATGTTTTCTCAATCTTTAATATTTCTATCACTGAATTTTACGGATTGTCACATATTCACCGACGACAATTTACTATTAAATGGTAAACAACTACAAATGCATTTACTACAGTACCTAGGACAATTGAAAAACTTTCATCTGAACGTCAGTATTGCTAACTATACAATATCTAATGAGCCATGTACAATTCTGTCAACATTTCGAACGGAGTTTTATTTTCGACATCATTGGAATTTTGGCATGAATCGATATTATTTGTATTCCTTGCCGTTTAAATATGATGAATTGTATGGATTCGAATCATTTGAACTATCCAATACTGCACTTCTACAACCAAAGCCTTCACTTTGGCATAAAATTAGAACTGTCCATTTGGAACGAACAGACGGAACTGTTTTAAACGACTTGATTCATATGTCAAATTTACAAACAATCAAAATTCGTAAATCTCCCTTCGTAGATTCAAATGTTCTTATTGGTGGACGGAATGAAACTTCCTTAGTTAAAAGAGATTCGTCGAACTCTCAAAGTCAACCATGTTTATCTGATACCCATTCTTCATTATATACGATAACGAGTGTCCATTTAACTGGAGGCGATATGGAAAATGATATTGGATCTTTATTACGAGTATTACCTAATTTGAATCATTTAGTTTTGAAACACACTCTTTTACCACCGATGAATAGTTCGTTGATTAGAATTTTACAAGAGAAGATTCAACGATTAGAAGTGATGTTCACTTTGGGTCCGGTAGAATTGATTGAAACGAGTTATATGTACTTTTCTAATGTTAGATATGCACGATTTACATTTAACTTGACGTTTAACGATTCTATTCTTAACCTGCGCTCGAAATTAATCGAAAACTTCCTGAAAAATATTCCGCAGTTGATTAGTTTAACGATTTACTCAGTCAATTCAAAGAATTGTTCTTATAATGATGAATTCATGTTCACACCCATCACGCAACGAATAGAAATGGCTGATATTAGACAGAAATATACTATGGCATACGTTCAAAACTCTTTATCGTTTGAAAAAATCGTTCAGACTAATAGGACTCAAATTACACCGCCGACAACGTCCTATCTTCGAGTGTCTTTTATCACTTTTTTCATTTTTATTTATTTTATTCTGGTAATAAGCTTTTTATTATTTTAAATCTCAATTTGCAGAATAAGCTTTTTCTATCTGCTGCGGATTTATCTCAATAAGGTGGAATGCCGATTGAGATGCATAAAAAATAATAAAAAACACGAACTGCACAGAAGCAATGATAAAAAAATAACAATAGAAAGCCCAGTCCATTGTATCTTCAGCACGGCACTTAAAAAGAAAAATCTTAGGCAAAGCTCTAATTTGATCACAACAACTAGACTTACACTAAAATCCAGAGTGAACGACGTATTTGGATAAAGATTGATCAATCCACTGCCAATAAACGATGCAATACCGATAGAAACAAACCGCAAACTCATAAACAGCGATTGGGCTGATCGTGGTGCCGCGAAGTAAGCGTATTCGAAGCTAGCTAACATGGCAAACACTTCGGAAAGGCCCATGCATATGTTTTGACCTAGTAGATAATATATTGACATGCTCGACTTGTCGGTTTCTAGAAAAATTCATGTGTTCTAGTTTGTTGATTCAGTCATTTACTTGGATCACAGGTTTCTCGTCGATATTTTTCCAAAGTTCCAGCAATTAGCATGGCGATACATGCTAAAAACATACCAACAAGAAATTTCCGATGAATTGTTGTTTCCGTATGAACCAAATCGCGATTTCGATAGAAAACCAAGTAAATTATGGCCAAGCCGACTAGAATACAATTATCGATGCAAATCAAATGATTTTTTAATCAGTGAACATACTGATCAATGTTATCGGATCAGCAAGTATCATCAGCGTGACAATGTTTCTAACGCCAGCTGGCTTCCACATATGTTCGCCTTGTAGGGGAAACGTGGAACTTATCTATATATAATTATAAATACGAACATCGGAAAAACCTATCATACCTGATTATAAATAAGGAAGTATGGTATGAGAAGACTGAAGACCAGGAGCGCGCGTCGAAAAGATTTGATATCATTAATCATTCGATCGGTGAATCGTCCGCTATTTTTCGCATCGGTTTCGTCTCCGGATGATGTAGAACCACGTCTTTGTTTTTTTGTTTGCCATCGTAATAGTAATGAAGTGACCACATATCGATAACATGTTCGAACGACGGTATCGATCGGATCGACATGAAGATAATATCGATAGCCAATGATGAATAGAAGAAACGAACAAAGAAGCAGTCCGGCGGCTACTGAGTATCCAACGAAGTACGATTTGATGTCTTTTTGAATAAAAGAAAGCATCAATGATCCTATGATGCCGCCAGTATTGACGGCAATGAGATATTGATCAAAGTATCTCGTTGTTGCTTTAGATTTTTGTGTTTGTTCGGCACCGAAAACAGCCATGTTTGATTGTATAGCACCACTTCCAATAGCACTTTTTAGAGAAGAGATAAGTAAAACAATATACTAGAGGGAACATATTTACATGATACTTAGTACTGGAAGAATCCAACGAGCACACGGTTCGTCAATTAATGAACTCGCAGGTTGAGGAAGAGTAGCGTTGCTCAGACTGGGTATACATACGTTTGTCGATGGATTCGTGACCGCGATGGCAAATGCATATCCAAATAAGTATATTACAAAACCTATGTGAAATATTCAAGTTTATGAAACATGAAGCTTCCATTTTTAGTAATTTACCGGTACTAATGGTTATTGCTCTGCGATACAAACCGTCACTGATGATAGCAAAGATGATGGCGGATATATTGGAAATTCCTATTTGTACAAAGGATGATAAAAAAAACCGACTGCAAACTATATATCAGCGATTTGTACCGACCGGAGAAAAGGAAGGCTGCAAATGAGCTATGGGACGCCGACCAGTGGAGTAATCCATCGGAGCTCAGACTACTGACAAGGTTAAGAACGAGCGAGTAGAACGCAGCTCGTTCACATAAAATACTGAACAATATTAGAAATTGTGAAAATCTTTTATCACGATCTGACCGATTATCAGGTATGGGATCAGGGATGCCATGTTTCTTAGGCAGTAGCCTCGTAGTTTCGGCTATTGATGTTTCATACATAATGTTGCTCGAAAATAACTTAGTAGGTAAAATGTATATAAACTACAATACAAAATAAAAAGATTCAAATTTGTTTTGTTCTACAAGATGTTTTGTATGATAAAAGATCACATATTTATATGAAGAAGATAAGACAGCGAATATGCGTCATTCTATTTCTTCAACACGAGTATTTTCATATGTCATGCTCGTGGTACTGGAAAGTAAACTTTGACTTTGAGTACTACGAATGGTACAAATTAATCGATGAAAGAACTAAGACGGCAAACATATCTTGAAATACTTATGGATGGCGACAATCATTCGAATTCACAAACAATCTTTTTTTTCAAAACAGATGCGTTCCATGACTCATCTTATCAACATATTTACATTTATCTTCAACGATAGAGCAAAACTCATGTGGAATATTTTCCACATTTGAGCAAGGTAGTGATCTACTAGTTTTGTTGATGAAAAGAAGAAAAACGAAACCGTTTCGTTTTTATGCTCCATATCCTTCAACGACATGCTGAACGAATAAGATAAACCACAGGTGAATCTTCTATGAAGCCCGCCGTTAATAGATATTTTTCGCGTCTGAATAACCGAACAGGAAAAAAGCAGCAAACGTGAGACTGTATGTTTACATGCGATACTTGATCGTACATGTGCGCGTCAACACATATTTTGTTATTCGAATCCGTTAGACGCGATGATTTGATTAGCGAAGCATGACAACTAAGAAATAAAAAGTGAAACATATGAAAATAATTTTGTCCAATTATAAGTAAACGTTCGGTAAACGTTATTTCGATCGGTTAGAAAACGAAGACGACTATGGATGTGGTAAGTCAAGTCGATCAACAGTCTTGTGACACAACATTATACGATCAATCTTCTCTCATGACATTTCAAATGCCAAGTACACGTATCAATCAGAACTACATCATCGTTTGGTTAGACAACATATTTGCCGAAGTCAATAGCGCTGATTGTCTCAATATTGTTACAAAATTGCGAGAAGTGGTCAACAGTGTTCAGACATTCATCGATGTCGATGCATGTATCGATTTTATATCGGACACGGAAGATGAAAAGATATTTCTGATTGTATCCGGACTTTTCGGCCAAACGATTGTTCCGATCGTGCATAATTTTCCACAAATGCATTCTATTTATATCTTTTCAGGACAAGTGCTCGCACAAGAACAATGGATTGGCGAATGGAAAAAAATCAAAGGCGTTTATATGAATGTCAACTCGATTTGCGAAGTATTGAAGCAATCAGCAGATATTTGCGATCAAAATTATGTTGCGCTAAGTTTTATCAAAACAAGTGATGATACGAAAAATAAAACGTTAGATGAACTCGATCGTTCGTTTGTATTCATTCAAATTCTTAAAGAAATTCTCCCGACGCTTCATTTCAATCAGCAACATCTACATGATTTCTTAGAATATTGCCGGCAGGAAATATTCGTCGACAATGATATTGAAATGTACAATATCGATCAAATCGAACAAGAATACTATCTCCATCGACCTATTTGGTGGTTAACATCGGACTGCTTTTTATTTTCCATGTTGAATCGAGTTTTGCGAACATTAGAAATGGATTTAGTCACGAAAATGAGTTTCTTTATTCATGACCTTCAACAGCAGATCATTGACTTACACAAGGAACAGTTCGATCAAGAGAATAAATCGAATACATATACTGTCTATCGAGGACAAGGCATATCGCGTTCGGATTTCGAACAATTGAAAGACACACAAGGTGGAATAGTTATCTTCAATAATTTCATGTTGACGACGTTGAATCGAAGTTCATCTCTTGCTTTCGTTCAAGATAACTCGAATATGATTGGCGTTATTTTTGAAATAACCATCAATCTGTCGACATCGTCGCCTGTGTTCGCTTTGATTCGCGAAGCAAGTTATTATCAAAACGAAGAGAAAGTCATCTTCGCTTTGCACTCCATGTTCCGTATTGGAGATATTAAACCAATTCAGGAAACCAACGAACCCTTATGGCAAGTTCATCTAACTCTAACCGATGATAATAATGTTCAATTACAGAATTTAGCTGATATTATACGAAAAGAAACGCGCTCGAGTCATCATGGATGGCAGCGATTGGGAAATTACATGCTGAAGTTGAATAAATTTGATGAAGCTGAACATATTTTCTTATATGTATTGAATGGCACGGATAACGAACAAGAAAAGGCAGGAATTTATCATGCACTTGGGTTAATCAATCATAATCAAAGCAAATATTCCGAAGCAATCGAGTTATACCAGAAAGCGATCGAAATTAACCAACGAGTTCTACCTGCCTATCATACAGATTTAGCAGATTCGTACAGCAGCATCGGATCATCGTATAGCAGAATGAATGAACATTCTCAAGCGCTTCTCTATCATGAAAAAGCATTCGAAATTTATCAGAAGACTCTTTCTCCTGATCATTTAGATCTGGCTGTGTGTTACATTAATTTTGGCGAAGTCTTTCATAATTTAAGCAGATATAGTGACGCACTTTTCAATCACCAAAAAGCACTTAAAATTAAGTTGAAAGTTCTCTCGCCAGATCATCCCGAGGTGGCTTCGTGTTATTCTTTTATCGGTACAGTGTATAATACGATGGGTGAATACTCGAAAGCACTTGCTTCTCACAAGGAAGCTCTGGAAATTCGACTGAAAAGTCTTCGAGCAAATCATCCAGATCTTGCGACATCTTATAAGAATATTGGCGAAGTTTACAGCAATTTAAATGCGTACTCCGAAGCACTGATTTATCATAAGAAAGCACTCGAAATCGAACTGAACATCCTCCCACCTTATCATCATTCATTAGCTCTTTCTTATAACAATATTGGTAGCGTGTATGACGAATTAAATGATTATCCAAATGCTCTATCGAATTATGAAAAAGCACTGCAAATCTTTCAAGAAATTCTTCCACCGAACCATCCGTCGTTCGCCATTTCTTATAACAACATTGCAGGAGTCT